AAATATGTAAAAAGAAAAAACTAAAACACATTTTTAATATTCATAATTTATTACTCTGCGATAAGTCAAGATTATTTTTTGTGTAGTCTTCTGCCCCCTGTTATCAGGTGTATCTGATTGTGTACAATAGGATTTTGAGCAAAGTTTTTACCATTAAATTATGCAAAAGGTGTCAGACGCAAAACATTTCAGAAACCGTATGAATCAGATATGATACATTTGGCATTACAGGCTTAATTGGCTTTTTTTCCTCAGTCTTTTATTTTTTATTGGAATAGTTAATAAAGTAATAACTTTTTGGAATATTCACTGTATCTGGACTTATTCCTGTTATTTTTCCTCATCTTGCATTCAGCTATCAAATAATTAATAATTCTTTATACACACAAAAATAGATACATCACAAAGAGCAAAACCACTGCAAATGTGGCCAGACAAAACTCCAACTGACACAAACAGGAGACAAAAAAAACAAAAAAAATAAAGAAAAAATGCTAAAAACAACTGAAGATCTTAAAATGGATTAAAACAAAGACACAAAACAACAGAGAAAGAGGTAAAACTCACTGTGAAAGGCAGATAATGACATTACAATCCATTAAAGAGACAGAGAATAATCACAATAACACAAAACAAAGTTACAGAGATACACAATACACCAAAAACACACAGTTCACCATACAAAAAAAAAAAAAAAAAATTAACAGAGACAGCAAAACCCAATATGTCTAAGGGAGTCCAATTTTGTGGATGACGAATACAAACTCATTTGACGAAGTTTTTCAGAAAGTATAACAGAAAAATGTGACATTTCAACACTGATTTGATAATAAAATCTTTATTTTATTCATATTTCTGCTCATTTCTGCTAATTTAATGGCGTTTCAGCCTCTTGTGGGCGGATCTCTGTGAGCTGAGGAGATAATCTTCTGTTCACACGCGTTTCCGTGCACGCCCCCCCCAACATGGCGGGGAATCCAGTTGCACCCTCCCTCCAACGCTGGCTCTAAATGTGGCCGTTTCCACCTGTCTACCACCTTCACACACACTTAAGAGCAACGCTCAGAAACGCGTTAACTCCTAATCAAAGCAGACAAACCACACACGTTCTGGAAATATCAACTTCTGTCTGGGCCTGGAGGTGTGTAAGGTGGTTTTTTACCATGAATGCTGGATTTATTGCATTTAAAACCAATTTCCAATAACCGGTTACAAATAAAAGTTACTATTAAAACCAATTAAATTCCCAATCTGAGGGGAAGATTCTCCTTTTGTCTGTTTGTTTGTTCTACTGGCTGACTCACAAAATCACATTTTAGTGTTTCAGTTTTCCTATTTAATGCCTCCGTTAAAGGAACAAGCACATCTCTTTAAAGTAGAGGCTTTGTGATTAATTAATTAATCGACTAAGCGTTGTTCAATTTGAAAAAAGCTGAGTTTGTCAAGTCAGTTAAATTCTGTTTGGCATCAAATCGATGAGGAAATATATGGGGGGACGTAACCCATCAACACAGAGGCCAACTGGCCTTTTTGTTGTTTATATAAAGAAAAGAGTCTTACTCTAAATATCTGGCATTTATAAGCAATGAACTACATGTAAAATGGTGTTCTATTTAAATTAAGATGCTTTTTTTATGACCCAATAGTGTCGAATTATCAGCTCTAAAATTTTATCATAGTCTAGAAATGAAAGTTCCCGTGTAAATAACAATATCTGCCTCAATAATTAAGCTTTTTAAAAAAATAAAAGTCTAATTTAAGGAGGCTGTCTCTTTTCCAAAAGTCTTTATGCTCTAATTGGTCGACTCCGTTGGCCTGAATAGACTCCGCCCACCGAAATACTTGAGCTCTGCTGTAGTTAAAAAAAATCTAAAAATGTACTTTATTTGATTAGAAATAAAACATATTCTAATTACAGGTGGATTTCTTTAAGAAATTGGTTGCAAAATAGCATATAAAATGCCTTTAAAAAACATCTTTCAGTCCGTGAAGAAAATAATGTAGATCTGTTTTGCCCAGTGAGGTAAACAGCTGTGGAAATGACTTGTTAGATAAGATCTGAGCTTTAAATGGTCCACACAGTGTATTTCCTCAGGGATGAGATGTTTACATCTCAGCGACATGTGTCCGACTTTAAGCCGTTTAATCTCCCCAAGGAGCCTCAGAGGTGACCGAGCAGCTGGTCAACAGAATCAACACCGTTTCACCGAATCCTCCCGTGAGGCTGTCCACCCCTTGTTAGCCCGATTCTTTAGAAACCTGAGAATAAACCAGAGTAGATTTTAAAAATTGAAATGAATTAGGTCACAGTATCCTCCTGAGACCCGGCCCATTCATTTATGTCCATCATAGTGGACATTTTGTCCCCCTGTACCCCCCCTAAGTATCTGGAGTTACCCTATCAAGCCCTATAGTGTTCTGTAGAGGACATCCTGGGCTTTCCAGTGATGTGCCATGTGATAGCTTTGCATGCTGGGAACTTTACTTTTTTCCTAAGAGTTCTTAGGTAAATATCCCTTTCAAGACATCTTCTTTTTTATTATTTAATTATCTAAAGCCTGTCCTATTTTCCCATGTAAATCGTCCTGTTGTCCTCCACAGTGGACATGCTATGAAATTAAAATGAAAAATATTTTTTTTTAAATTTAAATTGTAATGTTCTTTTTTAGGTCCAAATACATGCAAAATCACAACAAAAAAGAAATTTGAAGGGTCTCAGGAGGGTATATCAGCTGGGCTCTATCAGACGAAAACCTCTCTCTGGGTCTCAGTGGGCAAAGAGCTCCGAACTCGGTGTGTGATGGGTATTTGTCTCCTGGGCTCCATCCGCCTCCTCAAAAGGACTGGACACGACTGAGTGCTTATTATGTTTATGTTTATGTTTATGCATTTGGCAGATGCTTTTATCCAAAGCGACTTACAGAGTAGACACAATATCACATTTATCATCACTATGACAATAAGCTATACAGAGGAGAAACACTGATCAGAGTCAGTGGTGAGATAGAGATAGAGGTAGAGGGACTAGAGAAGGAGCTGTGGGGGGGTAGAGGTACGGGTTAGGATTAGGATTATTGACCAGTTATTTACTAACCCTAAGCCTGACATGAACAGGCCAGGTCCTAATTAATGCAGGTAACCCTGGAATGTGGTAACTAAGTGTGTGTGTGTGTTGACTTAATGACATGTGTGTAAAGTAACAGAGAGAAAAAGAGAATCTGTGGTTACAGCCAGAGAATTTAACACAAAAATATAGTTCTGTAAGGCAGTGTTTTTCAACCACTGTGCCTCGGTACACTAGTGTGCCGTGAGTGATGGTCAGGTGTGCCGTAGAAAATCATCTTATTTCATCTAATTGGTCTGAAAAGATTTTTTGATAAGGAATTAATTATCTGCAAATAATATTCCATTTTTGAGTGTCTGTGCTGTACTAGTGACTGGTGGCGTAATCATGTAATAATTCCTTATGACTAGATTTTGTATATAATTTTGTATAATGAAGTGGACATGTTAAGAGCAATTAGAAAGAAGAAATATAAAATCTGTTAAAAATAAGTTTTTGTGTTTATTTAATTCCTATTCAAGACACTTAAGATAAGATAAGAATAAAATAAGAATAACTATAGTGTTACTATAGGCGGCTACAGATTTGTTTAACATTTTTGGTCGGTGGTGTGCCTCGTGATTTTTTCTATGAAAAAATGTACATTGGCTCAAAAAAGGTTTAAAAACACTGCTATAAGGAATAAGACAATTTATAATTTAGATAGATTATGTGATAGCATACAATGCTAAAGTGAGTAGTTATAGCCTAATTCTAACACCCTTCTTAGAGGGGAGCTCCCACTAGGGGAGGCGTGTAAAAATAGTTCAGGAGGATCATCGCCTGCTGCTGCTTACATGTTGTAATTACCACTCCAAATATCTCGTGTTGCGTTTGAGTGTCGCACAGGGATCGATAATGAAGTTTGATTTGACATTTGAACACGGTGACTTTGCCAAGTTTGGAGCGTCCGGCCTGCTCCGGCTGATAAAAAGGAGTCCGGGCCTCCTGCCGGCGGACTCTTAGCGTCGTTTATCTCCTGGTCTGGTCCAGAAAGGAGGAAATCTGCTGTGTTCACACCTGCAGGGTTCAGCTCACCTGAAGTCCTCAGATCTGGTGAGTTACAAACAGATTAAAAAACGAGGTTTAACCCTTTAAAGCCTGATCCAAGAATAAAACAAAACAGAAAATTACTTTTTTTTGTATGAAGTCTTTATTTGGCCTTTTAACAAAATATGTCAAAAGAAAAAACAGAAATACATTTTTTATATTAATAGTTTATTACTATGCGATAAGTCAAGATTATTTCTTGTGTAGTCTTCTGCTCCCTGTTATCAGGTGTATCTGATTGTGTACAATAGGATTTTGAGCAAAGTTTTTACTATTAAATTATGCAAAAGGTGTCAGACATAAAACATTTCAGAAACCGTATGTATCAAATATGATACATTTGGCATTACAGGGTTAACGCGATTATTTACCTATTTTTTTTGGTTTGAAGTCTTTATTTGGCCTTTTAACAAAATATGTCAAAAGGAAAAACAGAAATACATTTTTGATATTAATAATTTATTACTATGCGATAAGTCAAGATTATTTTTCGTGTAGTCTTCTGCTCCCTGTTATCAGGTGTATCTGATTGTGTACAATAGGATTTTGAGAAAAGTTTTTACCATTAAATTATGCAAAATGTGTCAGACGCAAAACATTTCAGAAACCGTACGTATCAAATATGATACATTTGGCATTACAGGGTTAAAGACTTTTAATTGTGAGGTCAGACACGTGAACATTAATAATCTAACTGACCTGATCTGGTATCTGTTTTAGTGTGTAATTTGTAACCCTAACCCTAACCGTTCGCATCAAATATGATACATTTGGCATTACAGGGTTAACTCGATTATTTACCTATTTTTTATGTGTTTTTATTTTGGTTCTTTCTAAAGATATCAAGATGAGCTCAGATGCTGAGATGGCTCAGTTCGGGCCGGCGGCCGTCTTCCTCCGCAAACCTGAGAAAGAGCGAGTGGAAGCTCAGAACCGGCCGTTTGACGCCCGAACGGCCTGTTTTGTTCCCAACGCCAAAGAGCTCTACATCAAAAGTGTAATCCAGAGCAGAGAAGGGGGCCAAGTCACTGTGAAGACCGAAGCTGACGAGGTGAAAATCCTCCCCCTTTGATTCAAAACTTACTCAAACGGTTTTAACGCCTTCTTTCTTCCCCTTAGACTGTAACAGTCAAAGAGGAAGATTGCCATCCGATGAACCCCCCAAAGTACGACAAGATAGAGGACATGGCCATGATGACCCACCTCAACGAGCCCTCCGTGCTGTTTAACCTCAAAGATCGTTATGCAGCATGGATGATTTACGTAAGAAAAAACACTTATCGCTTTATCTACAGTGGGGGAAATAAGTATTTGACCCCTTGCTGATTTTGCCGGTTTGCCCACTTACAAAGAATGCAACGATCGATAACTTTAATCATATGTACATTCTAACAGTGAAAGACAGAATCCCAAAGAAAATTCCAGAAAATCACATCATATGAATTTATAAAAATGGATAACCATCTGATGAGGAAAAATAAGCATTCTTTGTAAGTGGGGAAACCTGCAAAATCAGCAAGGGGTCAAATACTTATTTCCCCCACTGTAGGTGTAGAAAAACAGGGATGAGAACCCAAAAAATCTCCTTTCTCCTCCATTTCTGAGCCTTCACCAAGCCGCTGTGTGTCCTCTTTGTGAGGACTCTCCAGGAAAAACTCTCCAGGTTTATTGAAGGACGTCCCAAAGCTCTTCTCTGGGTGTTTTGGTGCCTTTTGGGGAGGATCCATCCCTCCATCAGTGGGTTCTGAACAACTTTGGGAACTCTGGAACTCTTCTTTTGGCTCTTCTTTTGGTCATTTTAGCTTCTTTTAGCTTTGTTCTGGCCTAATTAGCTCAATTTTAGCTTTTTTTTGTTAATTTTTTTTGTCATTTTAACCTCGTTTTTGCTTTTTTTGTGAATATTTCGTCATTTTAAGCCATATTTTTTATTTTTTGTTTTATTTTTTGGGTGATTTTAAGCCTTGTTTTTGCTTTTAAGTTGATATTTGGTCAATTTAGCCTTGGTTTTGTTTTTTATGTTGTGTTTATGGTCATTTTTAGCATTTTTCCCCCTTTTTTCTGGTGTATTAAAACACTCAAAGGAGTGAGGATCCATCCCTCCATCAGAGCTGCTGGGGTTCATCCACTTCTGGTTCCTCTGGCAGAGCTCAGCCTTTCCTGTTTCCTTCCTTCATGGCTTCTTACAGCCCCCCTTCATGGAGAGCATTTCTGATGAGGCCACCAGGTGCTGGATCTCTGGACCTCACTTTCAGATTCTCTTCATCTACTGGAAGGAGTTTTATAGGCCCCACTCTTCTTCTTATGTCCTCCACTTGTCCAGTTTCCTCAGATGTTTTAAGGACTCTCTTCTCACCAGGTTGAGAACTGCACAGTTTTCAGCTAGCAAGTCTTTAGGAATCATCAGAAATCCGGTTACCTGTCCGTCAAACTATGTTTTCTTTGACATTTTTCGTTCATCAGCTAAAGAAATGGGAACAAATGTGTCTTTGTGACAGGATGCTGCTAACAAAGAGCCTGTTAAGTTTTCTGCACAGTAGACACAACACTGGCTCATGTCTTTATTCCAGTGTGCAGAGGCTTAAAAATACATTCCTCTGAAAATAACCTGGTAGAAAAACACTGAAAAATCAAAAGCAGTCCATTTCCAAACACAAAATGAAAACCTGCTGAGATGCTGTTCGAAACCACTTTAAGAAGTTACTCAAAAATTGGAAGATTGATTGAATCGAATTGTGAGGAAATGCAGAATTGATCCTTTCTCAGATATTCCTTCCTATGACTCACCCCCCTTTTGTAACTCAGACCTACTCGGGGCTCTTCTGCGCGACGGTGAACCCCTACAAGTGGCTACCAGTGTACGACCCCCAGGTGGTGGCGGCCTACAGGGGGAAGAAGCGCATGGAGGCCCCGCCCCACATCTTCTCTGTGTCCGATAACGCTTATCAAAACATGCTTACAGGTGAGACGGAGCACTGACTTGTGTTGTTCAAATGGGATTAATTTCGGGGTATTCTGAAGTAGGCTGCATGGTGGGGTGGTGGTGTGAAGTTTGCATGTTCTCCCCACGTCTGTTTGGGTTTCCACTGCCCAAAAAGATGCATGTTGGGGTGTTAGAGGAAGTTTTTCCTTGCCTGTGTCGCCTAGTGCTTGCTCATGGTGGGAATTGTTGGGTTTCTGTAATTATCTTCAGAGTAGGGTCTGACCTGCTCTGTTTTGGAAAGCGCTGTGAGATGACTGTTGTTGTGATGTGGCGCTATATAAATAAAATTGAATTGAATTGAATTAGATTTCTCTAAATTGACCTCAGTTATTTGTACTCTGTCTCTTGCTCAATGGAAGCTGGGGTAGACCCACAACAGATGGGTAGAAGTCCAGAAAATAACAGTGAAACACTGACCCATAACTCTTCAGATGCCCAGTTAACCCAGTGAAAATGTTCCTAAAAATGTACAAAATATCTAAAAGGAAAAGCAGAAATCGATGAGACGTGTTCCTTGTCTTTGACCTCGGCAGAGATACTTTAAAGTTTAAGGGAAATCTGAGATTGTGGTCGGACAAAATAGTTTGAAATAAGAAAATTGATAACCTGATGTCTGTATCTGATCTAATCGAGCGTTCCCTCTGTCTCTGACAGATCGAGAGAACCAGTCTGTCCTGATCACGTGAGTTCCCCGACCGACTTCCCATCAAACCCTGAAATAAACCCTTAAAGTCCTTAACCCTGTAATGCCAAATGTATCATGTTTGATTCATACAGGTTCTGAAATGTTTTGCGTATGACCATTTTTGCATAAGTTAATGGTAAAAACTTTGCTCAAAATCCTAATTTACACAATCAGATATACCTGATGACAGGGGGCACGAAAAAAAATCTTGAGTTATCGCATAGTAATAAATTATTAACTCATTCACTGCCAGCCATTTTCAGAACAGAGTCCCATACTGCCAGTTTTTTTAGCATTTTGACTGATTTTTCAAGAGCCACAGAATAGTTTGTGCTATGACTATGTAAACACCGAACACACCAAAAGAAAGAGTAGACTCTCTTCTTTTATCAGAATTTTTTTTTTTTTCTACCTTATTCCGTTCTTCCTCGACTTGCGTCTCACCGGCGACATGTTCTCTCATAGCGAACCGTTAACTCTTTCTTATTTGCCTACAGTCTATGCTCATCTCCCATCAAAAGTGGCACTGCCCCCTAGAGGGTCAATTTGTTACTACATACTCTGTCTAGAAGCCGATATTTACGGACAAGCTTTAGCAGATCGTCCCCCAGCCACTCTCATTGAAAAACATAAAAGACGTCTATAGACGTCTTTGGCAGCCAACGGTTGTACTTGAATTGACGTCTATAGACGTCTTTGGCAGCCAATGAGTTAATATCAAAAATGTATTTTTGTTTTTGCTGTTTACATATTTTGAATGAATGAATGAATGAATGAATGAATGAATGAGCATATTTTGTTAAAAGGCCAAATAAAGACCTAAAACCCTCCAAAAGTAAATTTCTGTTTTGTTTTATTCTTGGATCGGGCTTTAAAGGGTTAAAGCTTTCCTCAGTGCGTCCTATCTTTGTCCACAGTGGAGAATCCGGAGCAGGGAAGACTGTGAACACCAAACGAGTCATCCAGTACTTCGCCACCATCGCCGTGTCCGGTGGAGGCGACAAGAAGGAGCAGTCGTCCGGCAAAATGCAGGTGTGTGTTTTTCAACCTTTTTTGAGCCAAGGTACATTTTTTCATTTTAAAAAAATCACGAGGCACACCACCAACGAAAAATGTCAAACAAATCTGTAGCCGCCTATAGTAACACTATAGTTATTCTTATCTTTTCTTAGGTGTCTTGAATAGGAATCAAATAAACACAAAAATGTATTTTTATCGTATTTTATATTTCTTCTTTCAAATTGTACTTAACATGTCCACTTCAATATGCAAAATTATATACAAAATCTAGTCATAAGGAATTATTACATGATTACGCCACCAGTCACTAGTACAGCACAGACACTCACAAATTGAATATTATTTGCAGATAATTAATTACTTATCAAAAACTCTTTTTAGACCAATTAGGTGAAATAGGATGATTTTCTACGGCACACCTGACCATCACTCATGGCACACTAGTGTACCGAGGCTGTTCTCCTGAAGAGCTGGGCTTTTTGTTCAGGGCACACTGGAGGACCAGATCATCTCAGCAAACCCTCTGCTGGAGGCCTTCGGGAACGCAAAGACTGTGAGGAACGACAACTCTTCCAGATTTGTAAGCCTTTGACTCACACGCCTCAGATGGTTCTCTTGAGCGTCTCTCCTGATTCGTAAGCTGTGTCTCACAGGGGAAATTCATCCGAATTCACTTTGGAACCACAGGAAAACTGGCTTCGGCTGATATCGAAACGTGTAAGCTCTGCGTTCAGGTGCCGATCCGCTTTGTTAACCTCCAAACGCTGATCCCCGATTGCCTTGATTCGCAGATTTGCTGGAAAAGTCAAGAGTAACTTTCCAGTTGTCTGAAGAAAGGAGCTACCACATCTTCTACCAGATCATGACAGGACACAAGGCCGAGCTCATAGGTGCGAGAACCCGCCGGTTGCCAGAAAGAAACTCGGCTTTAACTCATTAACTGCTTTTGAGCATTTTGACTGATTTTTCAAGAGCCACAGAATAGTTTGTGCTATGACTATGTAAACACCGAACGCACCAAAAGAAAGAGTACACTCTCTTCTTTCATCAGGAAAAAAATGTTTGTTTCTACCTTATTCCGTTCTTCCTCGACTTGCGTCTCACCGGCGACATATTCTCTCATAGCGAACCGTTACCTTTTTCTTATTTGCCTACGGTCTATGCTCATCTCCCATCAAAAGTGGCACTGCCCCCTAGAGGGTCAATTTGTTACTACATATTCTGTCTAGAAGCCTGATATTTACGGACAAGCTTTAGCAGATCGTCCCCCAGCCACTCTTGTTGAAAAACATAAAAGATGTCTATAGACGTCTTTGGCAGTCAACGGTTGTATTTGAATTGACGTCTATAGACGTCTTTGGCAGCCAATGAGTTAAAAGGTTTTAAATGTTGTTTGTCCGGTCTCCTCTGCAGAAATGCTCCTCATCACCACGAACCCATACGACTTCCCCATGATAAGCCAGGGGCAGATCTCTGTGGCTAGTATCGACGACAAAGAGGAGCTGGTGGCAACCGACGTGAGCTAAACCCCCGACCCCTCCATGCCCTCCAAACGGTGCGCCTCGAAGCTCGTAAATGACTGTCTCTCTCCTCACAGACGGCCACCGACATCCTGGGCTTCACCGGAGAAGAGAAGATGTCCATCTACAAGCTGACGGGGGCCGTGATGCATTATGGGAACATGAAGTTCAAGCAGAAGCAGCGGGAGGAGCAGGCGGAGCCGGATGGGACGGAGGGTGAGTGATTCCTGGGGATTCCTGGGGATTTCCTCGATTTGCCTTTGTTTTGCTTATGGAGCCTGTAACAAAAATAATTTCCCTCTGGGATTATTAAAGTATTTCTGATTCTGATTCTGATT